TTCGCGGTCCACAATGCAACTTCAGTCTACGGAATACAACTTCCGCCCACGGTCGACAACTTCGTCAACATCTGCTTCACCACGATACCTCATTCATCGCTTTCAGCGTGTAACGTGCAAGAGCACGATGCAAAAAGTTTGCTGTGTAACCACGCGGAAAGTCTAGACTCTAGAGACAAATAATGGTCTCGTCTATAAACCGCACCCGCGATTTTTGGCCCAAAACTTAAACAAAAAGGTCTGGCTTCTACACGAGTCTCTGCCGTATTTTCCTCTGTAAAACGTTTGCTGGTTTCACCAGAATGATCAAGTCCGACTTATCTTTCTTAGTGAAATTAGCTGGTTTATTTGTTTTGTTTTAGTTTGTATTTGTTTTTAATTTTCTATTGTCTTCCGATGTTATTTAACGAAAAAGGAAAAAATTTAAGTTGCCTCAAACTCGAATCGTGACTTGATGTTGACTTGGGCTTAAAGTAGACTCGTCCAATGGTATAACAAATGTCTTTATACCTTCATTGTCACTTTTCCTGTCACTTTCTTTGTCACTGTTAGTCTGACAGTTAATGTCACTGTTTATGCCACAATCACCACCCTCACTGTCCTCATCAGTGTCACTTTCTAAGTCTCCCTTAACGACACTGTTGACAACTAACAAGTTGTTATCCTAGCAGTTATCCTTGCCGAAAATGGTATGGGTCAATGTGATAGATACGCTCTACTAAACTACATACTTTTTTTAGGCTGTTGTCGATTGCCATCAAATCTTGCCTATTGTCAGCGGTGGTCAATGATATCTTGAAAGTGGTTGAAATTAAAAAACCACGGAGAAATCCCAGTCAACAAAATTTGAAGATTTACTTTAATCAACACTGGGATGTAGAAACTACGGTGTAGGTTGAAACAAAAACTTCAAAATAACACACGTTGAGAGTGATAGGATTGCAATTCATCTGTAGGTCAAATGAAATGTATTTCGTTAAAAGGTTGATCAGATTCCATCACGCGAAACATGAAACCTCCGAAAATTTTTCTCAATCATGATCAGGGCTAAAAAGAACGGAAATCTGAAAACCCAAAGAAAGAAAGTGCATGCTCCAAATGGAGTGAACAGTCTGAGAGTATTAAATCAAAGTAATTCCCACTATGGGTTAAATAAATAAAAGACATACCACAAAACGGAAAAAAAAAGAACTTTGCCAGACGCCTCCAATTTTTAAGTAAGCATTCTTCAAGGACCGATAGGACCCAAACAAAAGTACATTAAAGCAAAAAGCAAAAGAAAGATTAGCAATAACATGAACAAGTCAAAGACAACTTAATGAAACAACCACATTTATTATAAAAATAGAAGTCATAATTAAGTCATCTGATTAAAAATTGGCAATCTGATTCTTAAAGCAAATGGAATTCTAGCACATAAAAGTCGAGAAGACGGCAACTCATTAAAGCCGTTATAGCTTCTTCTGACCTAATTACCAATGAGCATTTCACTCCAGCATTACAACGATTTTTGTATTATATCAATTTTCTAAATAAAAAATTTTTTTATCTTATAATTCCAAGCCAGACTTTGTAGTTAAAGTAACATTTGCAACACTTTTATGGTACATAAACGAAAAATAATAGATCTGTGACCTTGAGTATCATGCACCTATAAAAATTTCTAGCAATGACATACAATTCTTTTGTTTGCTTATTACATCAAACTGAGGAAGATAGAGGTTTATCGCTTGCAACATCTTAAGGGTTACTCAAGTATGGTATGTCTGTTCCACATTCAAAACTAGCATAATTTAGATGCAAAGTGGGTAGAAAACTTAAATTTCATTTTGTTTCTGGTAAGAGCGGAAGGTCTTGGAGCAGTTTCAGTTCAACTAATTATCATTTAATCTTCCTAAATGGATGAAACAATTACAAACAAACAGACAAAACATGTAATGTGCACACAACACTGTGAAATCAAATAGGAATGTCTCACTGTAAAATGATGTGAACTGAAGCAAGGAAAAAGCGGGGAATCTGAGTGGTAAAACAGCTGTGTGCAAAATGCATGCTGCCTGGAAAAACGAAGTAAAACAAAACCATATCAGTTGAGGCAGTTCTGAAATACTCCCTACTTCTAACAATCCGTACTAGAGACTTGACATGTGTCACCGTGAATGGATTGGTGTTTGAATCATAATGTTTAGGATTCCAAATACACCTCAGCGTTTAGAGAATCTTAGTAATTAGCTTCAAATTCTTTATAAATTTTACTGTAAGTACACCATAAAAGTGGAAGATTGAATCTTCTTCACAAAAGAAACACTTCTTGTGCTTCTTTACAACCATAAGAGCCAAATATCTTAAAGTCAACGATAAGTTGTTATACACCACCCTGTTAAACTTCATAAGCACCATCATCTGTATTGTGCCTTTCCTCTTTCAACATATGCTAGAAAAAAACACAACTTATATTAAGAACGACACGATTGAAAAACTTTCATGCCATGACTGGTCGGGGAAAGATGAAAAACACTTTGCGGGTAAGCTCAAAGTTATTAAGTACAAAAATATATCAACATAATTAACCATTTCAAAATCAGGTAATATTCAAAGAAATTAAATTTAGTACCGATTGACCCATTAAAAACTTAAGAGGATGACATGGAATTCATAAGTGAATCTCAAGGAAAAGTGTCAACAGCTTACTGTAAGTGAATCAAGCTCCTGAGAGAAAGCTCCTATTGTCCCTGTTACATGGTCATCACCCTAAAAAGTATTAATGACAACTAATTAATACCAAAGCTGTGAGCCATGCATCCATCTTTTAATTTTATAAAGAAGTCGTTGTTTGTATATGGGAATGTAGCGAAACATAACGGTTTTTCTTTGAATAAATCCACAATTTGTTCTTTTTCCTGGAACGTGGTGTCTGTACTTTTTTTTAATGTCAATATGAAAGAGAAATAACTTGATACATGTAATTCACGTTAATCTGGAGGCAGAAAACAAATTCATTTCTTCAGCAATCTCTTCTATTCATTTTCTTTAAACTGCTTCGACACAAGAACATATTAAGAGTTTTTGTGGTAGCATGTTAATAATTATATAGCTTTAAATGACACACTTAATGATAAAAATGATAAACCTGAATTTCCCTATCTTCATCACGTTTTATTCTTGATTGTAAGCCAGACTCATCATTTCGCTCAGCTGAGCGTCTACTTCGCTGTACCACAAATGTCGTCAAAGCTGGAGGAACCTCTAGGTCCATAGGACATACATAGTCATCCAGTTCTACATCCCCCTTCCCACGCTTTCGTAGTGCACTAAATGACGATGTTCTTCGGACAATCTACCAAAGTGATGCAAGTCTTGTTTATTCTAATAACTACCTCAACGCAGGTGGAATGTCTATTCCAACCATTTCCACCCAAAACAATTGAAACATTTACCACGAAAAGTCAACCAGTTACTTCATCCTACCAACCCTGTATACTGGTATCTCAATCTCAGAGTGTTCCAGTACAGAGGATTCAGTGTAATAAAAATAGGAAAAAAAATCACATGCAATCAGTAGCCATGGTGAATATAAAAATTGCACCAGAGGAATCAAAACAAGCATGATATAGCCCTTGAAAAGTAGTACTATGCATTCCATTTTCAACAAGACCTCTTTATTTAAATGTAATATAAACGAAACACCACACTGATTCAGTGAATACCTTATGCTTAATTCCTGGCATGAGAGGCTGAAACAACGGGTCACCCGCTGCCTCTTCCTTCACTTTATGACATGCAGTCCCAACAAGGGATTGGAAATGAGTAGCCAAGTGTCGCCGAAGAAGTGTTTTACTGCTTGGTATGGACAGTAATGCTGCCAAGCTCTCTGCAGTAAAACGTGGCTCCAGTATCTACATTAATAACAGCACAGCCATAAGTGTGATTTACCCATGACAGTTAATATCATTAATCATTCAACATGAAACTTACAACATACAAAGGATACATTGTTAAATTTTACACTCGAAGTACTCGACTCAGTTTGCAGATACTTTCCAAGATAATCAGTATTGAGAAAGATGTTCTTTGTCTTGTCACGCGGGACAAAGAAAAAGTTCTTATTTCTCAGTTACTATTTGAGTATATCGAATATTTGAACCTTGTGCGTCAGCGTTTTTTGTTCTCTGCCGATGTAAAAGGGAATAACTATTAATTTGTGAGGTCTGTTGGCACTTTTAAAATAACAATTAACTAATTCGCCTTGGGCCAGTTTTATTTAAATTGTACTTTACTTTTGTAGATTTTAGAGAAAGAGAGATCTCAACTTAAAATATTTTATCATTGTTACCATAATTGTAGGTTATTTCACGGTGGGTGAGCGCGTACGATTTTTATTCACACAAGTGAATGAAAATCGTACAAGCGAACTAACCGTGAAATAACTTATTTATTACATACATACCGAGATTCATAAGCGAACAGAACTCAAAGATAAACATATCTTTATATTCTTTCAAAGGAAAACAACGCGCGGTCAGGCCGCCTCACAGTTCGAGAGTTGCACCGAAATGGCTTCCTTGTAAAATTCTTTACATTTAAATTATCAAGCAAAAATGCCGTTAAAAGGTTAGAATAAACTAGTTAGAATAAAGTAAGACATCCTGAAAATATGTTGAAATAGTTAAACGGAAGTTAAAAATTTGAAATTCAGAAGTGAAAACCCGAGACTTTCCGTCTTAGATCCCTCTGCTTTGACAGAAGCGCTTTCCGAGTTTGCCCGAACTGGACGTCTTTCGTAAGGCAAAGTCCATAGTTTTTTTCCTTCAAATGGCGCTCAAAGCTAACGAAGAATGCCCTTAAGGAATTAGGTTCGTATTCCTCGTTGTCTTCTTTTTTGCGAACCGTTATAAGGAACTCGCTAAGAAACTTGTTCAGCTCTTGAGGAGTTAATTCGTCCATTTGTCTCGTCTCGCCTTTTAAAACAAGGAATTCGTGAAACAGAGCAACATAGTGTTTGGTCTTTTACTTGATGTTTTCATTTTCCTGTCTGTCTATGAACTCTTCTACTGATGAATCTAAGCTCTGAAAACGGTTAGTCTGATTTGAAGCCATCTTTCTAAAGAAAAATGAACCTAAGCTCTTAGGGCCTGTTTACATGGTGTTGGGGACCCCAGGTAGATGAGGTAACCCGCCTAGCCGTGGTCAAAAAATGAAACGCGTTTACATGCAATCTTACAA